GCCCAGCCACATCCTGGTGCTTTTGACCCACAAATGTGTAGGAATCACCAGCCAGCGTAACTAGATGTTTGTGCCACACTGCACAGGGAGGTGAAATCTCCTCACAGCCCTGGCTAGCAGAAACCACGGACACCCTCCAGCCTGCAATTTGGTCCCTGTTACATTTCGTTTGGTCGCAGAGGTCGTTACAGGGCCACAAACGATCCAACCATCCTTTTACATCTCACCAGAGACCTCACTAGCTGCAATAAAACAATCTGGCTGATCTGACAGAGCTCCGATGCAAACTCAAAACCGAAAAGTCAGATGCTCGCTGTGCAGTTGCTGCTGCCCACGGCTACTCTCCTTCCCTTCTATGAGCTGCCTGTGCCTCAAAACTTGGCAGGCTTATGGAAACATCCCACCAGATAAACCCCAGCCATCAGAAAACCCACAGCAGGGTGGATGAACCCACAAGCCCCCGTCCACCCCGTTTCACCCCCCTCCTCACCCTTGCGCACGTGCTACCCCTCTGGTCCACCTCTGCCCCGTGACCGGGCTGTGCTGCAAGTCCGTGCTGCCCACAGGGAGAGGAGGCTAACAGAACTTCAGGGGAAAAAGGAAAATGAGAAGATCTCCCCACTCCAAGCTGGTGTCTTGTGGTGGACTAAAGATCACCAAGAAGCTCACATGGGAAGGGCTGCAAAAAATCATCAAAAATGGGGCACACATATAAGCCAAGTTCTCTTTTGCAGAGTGTAAATACTTGCATGAGATTACAGAAGCTCAGAGCTCTCTTTTTTCTGATGGACTAAGTCCAGCTGAAGACAGAGTAGACAGTTATGCTATGCCCGTGAGCCACCACGGCTAAACCATCAGCTGTTCTGAGCAGGCACAGTGGATGTGAGACCTGCCAAGAGCTGCCCAGTCCCCACCATTACCACAGCCCCCAGGTGGCCTGTCCAGTCTCATGCTCTGAGCTAACCACCTTTCAAAGCACCAGAAAGGGTTGGGCTCTTCTGGGAGACCCAACAAGCAGGAGGGTCCACCTTTCTCCCCAGCACATACAGATAGCGTTCTTCTCCAGCATGAGCCTGCAGAGCCCCGGACTTCTGCAGAGCCGCATTTAGGAACAGCAAGGTTGCAGCTCCGTTTCCTTATGTCCATAAATTCTGTGCTGGCAGCTTCCAGCAGGACCGTGACCTTCAGAAGTAGCATTGCTGAACTTCCCCACACCAGAGGTGGCTGCGTTTCAGCAACAGAACTAACAGTAAGGGATGGGTTTCATCTAAATCTCTGAACACTGGCCGGGGCTGTTGCCTGTGCTGTCTCTTAACTTCTGCAGGAGCAGAATGAGGTCATCACAAAGCACTTCCAAAACCTCAGACATTACACTTCAAACTCTGTAAATGTCAGTGTTCTTCTAACACATCAAGCTCTTGAGTTGGTGACGGTGAGGTCACTCGCCCCCCACCACCACCACGTGCAGTGGTATATCGCAGTCTGTCATCAAGCGATTGCGTTCCGGAGCCTCCCCGCACACCTCGGCTGTCCACGCCGACCCACCTATGCAGCGTCTGCTTCCCACCGGTTCCCAGCACCGAGCACAACAGGGACAGTTTCTCCCAGCCCCTGCGCTGGTGCCAGGTACCACAGCATCCTCGAGCAGCTGGATGCTGCAGAAGAATGGAAAATATCCCCCTCGTTCCTGGCCTCTGAGTCAGAGCAAGCGCGGAGGACAAAGACGTTTGGAGAATGTAGCTGCCAACTTCTAACAGGGTCTGGGCTCATGAACACAAAGACCTTCCAAAGGCTTATAAATCACATTGTGTCCTGAAAGCTTTTCCACGGGAAGAGGAGAAGACACATTCCTGCACCAACATGCTAAAGTAAGTAGGAGAGATGGTTTGCTACACAACAGCAATGGACAAAGCTTTCAAAAAAAAAAAAAAAAACCACCAAACCAAAACTGAGATAGAAAGGTAGACCACAATGCATCCTAACTTTAAACATGTGGAGGTTTCCCAAGTCCAAACCCAGGGTTCTTACTATAACCCATGGTGAGATGCAGGTACCTCCGAAAGCTTCCAGTTGATGTCTCTCTCAGGCACCAGCAGAAGCCCACACTATGACCAGCTTAGACTTCAGCAAGTAGCCAACAGCCCTAACACGGCACAGTTCAACCCCAACACTTGAAGCGTGACAAGCAAATTAAATTAGTTTTGCCAGGAAGGACCCAGCAAACTTTACAGTAGGTAAGAGCAGCAGTTCTAATCGCACCACGTCCCTGTGGCTGACATGATCTGGGGCCCCTTTGCTGGAGGAGAGCGAGCTCCTGCAGGGACCTCAGAGACTCACCATGCCCAGCGTGCAGGAGAATTCGCCCAGGAAGTCGTGCTCATACAGCTGCATGCTTGACTTGTCCTGGTCAAACAGGGCAAACTTGAGCTTCTGCACTTCTTCAAAGTGGTAGTCAACGATGAACTTCTTGGCGAAAGCTGGGTTGAGGTTGTTCACAGCTGTCTCTGTCCTGTCAAGCTGCAAAGAAAAAACAAAAAGAGGCATTTAGGCATGTGCATCTTGCCTCTTTGTCACTGCCATGTCTCTGCTCTGGCTTCAGCCAGAGCCACCCACAAACCCCGCAGTGACCATCAGAGAGCAAGCACAGCAGGCACTCAGCAGAGCTATCCCTAACGCCGTAATGCCCGGTGTACACAAGGTGGGATCCATCTACACGAGTAACGACACTTTGTGCAGAGACCTGCGTCCCCGAGGACGGGGTGCACGGGGCCGTACAAGCCCACCCCAGCCAACAGCCAGGAGAGGAGCGCCCACCCAGCCAAGGCTTGGTGTGGACTTGATGATCTTAGAGGTCTTTTCCAACCTTAAGATTCTATGATTCTGTGATTCTATGATTCTCACTGAAGCCAGAGTCTTTGCTGGCTTCTAACCCCTGTTGTCCCAGGAGCTGATGCTCTGATCCTCAAGCAGACACTCACAGCTGTAACACCAAACCTGTTTCTTTCAGGCTGTGCAGCTAACAGCAAGGACAAGCAAAAAGAAAGTGTCACAAGCCAGAACATCAACCCTCTAGCATTTCCCTCTAGACCTCAAAATAAAACATTTGTGTGGTTTCTTCCTTCTTGGCCTTCCATGGAAAAAAAAAAATAAATCACTGCAGGCCATTTTTCATAGATTTCATCAAACATTAGGAGGAACGAGAGGCTGGAAGGACCCAGAAGACAAGGCTTCAATAGACTTTGTCATCCTGAGCCACTGCGAGCAGGCTGGAAGAAATGATGGCTTGGAAGGGCAAAAGCATGGAGGATGATGGAAGCTGGAAGCGTGAGGAACCCGCCATCAGAGGGGAAGCACCACAGCGGTCTGCAGCATCCCACAGCCAAGAGCAGCAATAAGAGCAGAGGAAACTTGGCAGGCAGCCGGTGCAAGCGTGGGTTTATGACGCAGCATGGCACAGGTGGACAGAAAGCCTTGTGTGAGCCAAAAAAAAAATTGCAGGGACAGCCACGCCGGAGATCCTGAGACGCTGCCCTCCGGTAATGGACCTTCGGTCCCAGACCCTGTAACTCAGACTGCAGGAGGGCTGGGGGCATGGCAGCAGCAGCCTGGCTCCCGACGCAGCTGACACAGAGACAGCAACCCACAATTTTAGTCAAAGTGGCAGAAACTGGGAAAACTGGGAAACCGAGGCTGAGAAAAGCTGGGGTATTTATTTCTGGAAATCAGTGGCCAAGGACGGTCTGAACTCTAATGTCAGGAGCCATCATCCCCACCACGCCATCGTCCATCCCGAGAGGCAGCAGGAAAGGGCAAGTTTGGAGCCCAGCACACCCTTATGAAGCTAAGACGGGCAGAAGGGCTGCTGGCGGCACAGCCGGGTGCTGAACAAGAGACGGCTGCCCGCAGCTTCCCGCCAGCACGAGAGCTGGGGGGAGCTCCGGCAGGAGAGCAGCTACTGAGAGCGTGTGGAGATTGCACAAGGTGGCAGCCGGTTTGGCGAGGGGCATCCTGCCCACACAGCCCCACGGGATGCTCCGACGGCTCTGAGCATCCGAGCTGGAACAGGCACGCTCCCACCAGAGCTGGCAGAAGAGCTAAGAGCATCGTTCTTTTGCCACATCGCCCTGTTCTCCCAGGACATGGTTACAGGCACTGTTAGAAGAGAAAGGCACCCGTTCACCAGCATCATTTTTGTCAAAGGCTGCTGCCCTTGGTGCCTCCAGGCAGCATCCTGCCTCGTCCCATAGCCAGGACACCCGGTCCCGGGCCAGGCTGAGCCACCTGCGCATCCCGCATCCCAGGGCAGGACCTCTGCAGAAAGCAGCCCCGCACCGGCATGCCTGGGCAGCACCAGACTGTGGGACGGCAGGATGGCTGCCAGAGCTGTGGAGCCAGAAATAAGCACAGCAGAGCAGAAAAAAGCCCCCCCCCCAAACTCGTCCCATAGCCAGGACACCCGGTCCCGGGCCAGGCTGAGCCACCTGCGCATCCCGCATCCCAGGGCAGGACCTCTGCAGAAAGCAGCCCCGCACCGGCATGCCTGGGCAGCACCAGACTGTGGGACGGCAGGATGGCTGCCAGAGCTGTGGAGCCAGAAATAAGCACAGCAGAGCAGAAAAAAGCCCCCCCCCCAAAAAAAAAGAGCAAATGCATACCTTAGTCCCAAAGAAACTCATTCAGCACAGGAGGCAGGTCTGGAGGGACTGAGTGGAAATGTGGTGAGTTTGCTGTATGTACCAACTATCGCAGTGGTTTTTGAAGTTTTTCGCTTAGTCTGTCTTAATTGCCAAGAAATGACTAAAGTAAATGCTGCGTTCCCGGAATGGCCACCTGCTGCACTCAGGGAATCAAGTGCATCAACACCGGTGGGCTGTGAGCTGGCCAGGACCATGCAGCTCCATGCAGCTCCTTCCTTCTCTGCTGCCATCCCGTACAGAAGGTCCCAGACGTCTGCTCTGAGATGCAGTGGACCAGGAGCAGTGGGCATTCACGAGCTCTACCTTATTTCAGCAGCACAATACACGTAAATCCCCTTTCAAGCCTAGGAGAGAAGACTGTGCAAGCAACGGAGATGGATTTTAGCTCCTTCCCTGTACTCTGAACCACTGGGAAGCCAGGGACCAAGGGAGACCAGTCCTCTCGCTCCCAGGTGCCAGTTAGAAGGAGATAACTTGAGGTCCCATCTCCAGCTTTGCCCTGGAAGGGGTGGCCCAGGGAAAGGGGAAGGGAAGCCCAGCCAATGTGTCTTAAGCCAGCCCTCCAGAGTGATGGGGCTTCCTTCAACACCCAGATTGACGAGCATTTGATCTCCTGCCCATTGTCAATGTGAAGCACAACAAAATCGCAAGCCCCAGCTGCTTGCTGCACATGGTTTGGTCTTTGGTTTGACGCAGCACTGGTCACCTTGCCAGTGACCATCATGTAGGAGGCCTCTTCACACCACCTCCACCAGGAGACCAGCATGCCATCAGCTCCTGCCTTCCCCTTAGCCCCCAAGGCTTACACAAAGGCAAAGAGCAGAGGTGGCTTTGCCACCCAAGAGTAGGAAAACACAAGGGTTTTTAAGAGGCAAGCAGCCTAATTAAAGATTTCTGTTTGCATAAGAGTCTTGGTTCTTCAAATCAAGCATGAAACTGGGAAATCATCGCTAACGACAGCCCCTGTGTTCAACGAATGCAGCCAGAGAGTCCTCCAAGGAGGTTGGCTAGAGATCTTCAAGCATCCTCAGCACATGGAGATACTTGGTGCTCTGACACTGGGAGATGCTCTCCCAAGCGCCACGGAAAGCTCGTGCGGGAGGCGTGAGGCTGGCAGGATGACTCAGAGTGAGTGGCACAACGGCAGTGGCATGGCTGAGTCATGTGTCCCTGCTCCTGGCATCACAGGCCAGGTCTTTCATGGCTCCTGTGAGATGACATCATTGGGCAGAGCATTGAAACATCACCCATTTTCATGTCACTTCTTGGCCTGTGGTTTATTGTCCCTCCCTCCCCCACCCCCTCCAAGGCTGATTCACAAAGGTTTTTTAGTTCCTATTAAGCTCAGCAAGACAAAATAATTGTATTTGGGAACAAATGTGACAGCTAGAAAGAACAGCAAGCAGAAACCTTTCTGTGGGCATCAGCTGGTGCTTCAGCCCCACCGCACAGCTCAGACGCTGGCACCACTGTGGCTGGGGCTGGTCCTGGAGGAGGAAACCCACATCCTAACCCAGGTCTGACAGCTGGGACACGTCGCTAACCCAGAGCGGAGGACGCAGGGGCAGTGTGGTGGGACGCCGCTGAGCTGCTGCTGTCGCCATCCGTTCCCTACATTTCAGCTATGTTACTAAGGCCACCGCTTTCAGATGGCAAAGAGGGTCATCTCAGGGCAAGGGTCACATCTGCGTGGCCAAAATCCACGCAGGACACCACAGGCAGCCCCAGGGAAGCTCTGCACCATGGTGGCACGAGCTGCCAGGGCTCCACCAAGCGCCCCACACAGCCAGGCTCTCGCAGGCGAGCCCACCTCTCCCGGTGCTCCCTGGCACCCAGCCGCAGCCCAGCCCCGGGCACCACTACTGCCATGAGGGGTGCGGGGGGACGGTGGTCCCGGCTGTGCTGGTGGACCAGGGCCAGCGCTGTGGCACGCGAGCACACCGCACCACGTGCCAGCTCGCACAGTGCGCTAACCTCCGCTGAAACCACGGCAGCGGAGCGCTAAGCAATCTGCCGTTTGAGGCTGACGTCCAGTGCCTATCTTACGTCTTGCCAATTAAAAAGATGCTAAAAATAGCAGAGGAAAGGGAAGGAAAAAACCAACCCAACCAACCCACAGACCACACATTTGTATTGTAAAAGAAGCTTTGGAATCAGACCTGCTGGACTGAGACGTTACTGACAGCAAGAGAAATCCCTGAAAAGTACAATCAGGTCAAAGGGATGACACCTATCAAGGATAGAAAGCTCATTAGTCTCATCCATGCTGCTGAGCACAGTTAATTGCAGACCCCGGTGTGGTGAAGTTTGCCCCCACACCCTCCCCACTGATGGTGAGATCAGCTGCAGGACACCTGAGGTGATGCCCATTGATTCACCACATCCTTGGCCAAGCACCCAAGGCTGCCCAGCTACTCCAAGCATCTGAAAAAATTCACCTAATTTCCCAGGAACTGGGACGATTTTTGTTTGACTTTTAACATTATTTAATGCCCTTTGGCTGATCCCAACAACGGCACCTGTACCCATCCATCCATCACACCCCCATGCTCTGCTCACCTGAACAACTGAAAAGACGCCTTACACTGTAATGGCAGTTATAAAATGAAATCCCCCCTTTTTTTTTTCACATTTTAGCCCAGAGTCTTTTCCCCTGTAGCCCAAAGGTTTTTCTTAGGCATAGAGCTAAATGCTCTTGCACAGACTCTGGAGTTTGGTTTCACGACATCAATTTTATCACAGATGGCACCTTGCCCAACTCGGACTGCTGCAGAAGGAGACAACGACTATGGTTTCTCCACGTGAGATGCTGAACAGTCCATAAAGCGCCATGAAAACCATCCTGGGAGTTCCCGGTCCGCTTTGTGCACACCTTGACTGCAAAGCCAGCCCGAGACGTGCACCTGCCTGCGAGATCCACCTAAGGGAGACCTCTTGCCGCTGCAGCAGCGTTGCTGGTGATGACCAAGGTCATGCTGCTCAAAGCCAATTTGGGCATCTCTGGGCAGTCTGTGGTGCCAGCAGCATGCGTGCACCCAGTCTCCTGACGTACCCCTGCAGCCCTTCCCCGCAGGAGGGGGGATTCTCAAAGGAACACACATCCAGTTGGTGGGTATGCTGGGAAGCAAGCTTTTGGGATCAAGCCAACATTTTACTTGTGCTACAAAATAATTCAGGCAGCTGCTGAGGGTCAATTCCCTCGCGCTCCGTTAGCCCGGTCAGCGGCAGCGTCGTCCCGCTGGGAACAACACAAGGGCTCCCCATACCTGTTTGCATCTCGGAGAGGGTGGATTTATCCCGCGTTCACCTGCCGCCAGGGACAGCGCAGCCCCGGACAGTCCTCCCGTCCTTAAAGAGCCTTTATCAGCAGGGTCTTGGCCTGGAGTAAGGTTGTGTGGGAGTGGGTGGGGAGGCAGAGGAAATGAATGCAGCTCTCAGCTACTCAGGACGTACAAAGAAAATAAAACTAAACACCTCCCCGGCCGCAGGAACATGGCAGCGTGCTTCTCTGTGCGGACCATCGGTGCCCACAGCCCAGGGGCTGCAAGCAGCTGTGCACATCTGCTGAGCAGGATGTTCTGGTGCAGCACAGATACCCAAAGCTGGTGAAAAGGATAATCATAGGATCCCAGACCGGTTTGGGTTGGAAGGGACCTCCCAGCCCATCCAGTCCCACCCCTGCC